GAGGTACCATTGTTGCTCATTTAGTTGTGTTTCATCAGTTGTTATTAAATTGCCAGAAACATGACTTGAATCATGCTGTTACAAAACAGTGGCCAGGGATGTGTGCAAAGTTTAGCAACTATTAGTTATCTTGATGTTCAACCATTTTCATCTAATGGACGAGTAAAATTTGTTACCATACAACCTTGAAGTTTAACCATTTTCATCAAATGGATGAGTAAAACTTGTTACTGTCATTCACGCACATACAATTGTTGAAGTCAATGGTTGTCATGCAAAGGGTGTCGTACTGTTGGCAGTGTTAAAATTAAACTATTCAACCTGAGAAAGAAGGAATTATTTGATTGAGGAAAGATACGCATTAGCTCATGGTTTTTTGCAAGGGAACTTTGCAAAGCTGCTTGCCTTGTCATCATAGGATTAACATGTGACTTCTCATTACTATAGGGATGTTGAATCATCATTGATTCATGTGCATTGATGATAGAGATCTATATTCTGAGTGTGTTCCTTTTGTTGAAGTGGCGACATCTTCATCAATTGATAACTTCTTTCTTGCACATTATATGTGTTGTAGGAGGGTTGGAGCAGGATCTGAAGACCCACTACGTGCATGCTCCATTAGAAAGAAGGTAGCAAAAAGAAAGTCTGCAGCTATCTCTGGTCTCAGAAAGGCTGCTGTAGATCATCAAAATTTCGTTAAAGGCACAACCATGTATCCTTTGGAGCACCATCCTGGACATGGTCTCCTTTGCACACTGCCAAAAGATTGAATCAAAGATAGCTACAGTTGCACCGAAATAGGTGATGAATTTGTTAAATGACTGGCCAATATAAACCACTCACTAGCTGCTGTACTTCAATTGCTCTGTTCAACAAAATTTTGGTTCGAGTCAGAAGGCAACACAAAATGCAGGTGAAAATCATTTTTTTCAGAATTTTAATTTTACGCGTAGCTTCATTGTTCTTTTGACTAATAGCATCTCCCTATCATTTTTCCCTTTGATCCCTTAATCATTTCTTCGTCAAGCCATTTTCTGTTGTAATTGGATTGGACCATTTTCGCTTTGCCTCTTGTATATGTCTCTTGGTTGTTTTGATGACACTAAACAAGGAAAACAAAAGGACATTTATGTATTCTAGTGTCGCATATTTGCGGATTCTTGGCAAATTCCTGATGTTTCAATAGAGTAGCCATGACAAAAGAGTAGAACACACTTTTCTTAATTTCTTCGAATTCCCATGTCCCATGTAACGTGTTGTAAGGAGATCCAGTGTCGTGATTTTAGCCATAGGCTTTGGTTGTTTGGTAGGTCTTGAAATTCTTATGGAAGCATCGAATTGGATATGAAAAGAATGAGATGGTTATAGTTGATTACTACTTAGCTGTCTTGCACCTCGTCGTGAGTTGTATCAGAAGTTTATTTTGCAACATAAAAAAATGTGCAGGAGCTCGAAACGTGCTTTGGTGCATCAAGATGTGCTTTTAATAAAATTGATTTAAAATTATATGCATGCAATAAATATTAAAAATTCTAATTAAAAATTAAATCAGAGGTTAATATAGCTATGTCTCTTGGTGAGCTCTCAGATTTTGTTATTTATTTATATGTCAAAATAATCCCTCTTTTTTTTTAAAAGCACTAATTTAAATTTCATTGATACAAAATAATATTCTAGTATGATTTTTTTTTTAATATAACTTTTCGAGACATATATAACCCTATCTAGTGATATTTATTGTTTTTTAAATGACAGTTTATTAGAACTGTAAAAGCAAATTTTTGGAAAAGAAAAACTAAGCTTTTTATATTTTCGACGCAAATATATTAACAAAAAAAAACATGTATTTTCATGAAAAAGTTTTTGAAATTTATGTTTAGAAAAGAAAAACTAAGCTTTTTATATTTTTGACGCAAATATATTAACAAAAAAAAAACATATTGCTCACATATTTTCATGAAAAAGTTTTTGAAATTTATTTTTTAACTAATCATATAATTATAAAATATACCAATAAAATTATAGAACCAAAAAAAAACATTTGTTGTCAAAACCTGCTATTGTTATTCATGTAACTTTTTCTAACATAAATTAAAAATAATATACTAAAAATAATTTTTATTATTTTATTAAATAAATTAAAATTAAAACTAAAACAAATAAAGGCTCATAAAAATAGCTAAATACCTTGGCCTCTAGGCTAGTTTCTAGCTAGAAAAAAGCATGTAGGTCACGTGTGGCAATGTTATGAATAGGTTTTCGATTATTACGAGATGTCATGACCATATTTATAAAATAAATATATTTTATAGTACTATAATTATAAATCAGTATCAAATAAATAATAAAAATTAAAGATATAATAAAATCAATATTTTATAATAGAAAAAACAAAATTGTATTGGTGATAAAAAAAACTTAGAGACTAAACAAAATGATTAAAATTGTATTGGTGTTAAAAAAAACTGAGAGACTAAACAAAATGATTTATAGCAATTCACAGTATTTTGTGAAGAAAGATACAATACTTTTGTCATATAATTTAGCTTTTTTGTTAATAAAAAAAATTATAAAATTAAATTTTTTACCAACTTAATATTAAAAAAACTCAACAAATATAATTTTGGAAAAAAAACTTATGATAAAAAACATTGTAGCAATTGATAATATTTTGTAAGGAAAACTACAGTGCTGTTTCCAATAAAATCGCCAAAAATAATTTTGGAAAAAATATATGGGAAAACATTGTAACAATTCACAGTGTTTTTAATAAAAAAAGCTATGAAGAAAAATTCTCAACCAGCTAGTAAAAAGAGAAAAAAAAACCATGTTAGAAACACTGTAACAATTCACAGTAAAAAAGAGGAAAAAAAACCATGTTAGAAACACTATAACAATTCACAGTGTTTTGTGATGAAAGCTACATTGCTCCCCCACATGATTTAGCCTTATTTATAATGACTTGTAATTGTAATTCTTAATTAGCTCAATATTAAAAAAATAAAATTGACAAAGATAATTTAAAAAATAATCAGAAAACAACCATGTTGAGAGACAATCTAACAATCCACAGTATTTTGTGAGAAAAACTACAATACTTTTTTTAGATAATTAAACTTTATTACAAAGTTAAATTCTAACCGGCATAATATTACAAAAACAAAATTGACAAAGATAATTTTAAAAAAATATTACAAAAAAAACACAAAAGAAACTAAAAAAAAAAACCATGTGGAAAAAAATACTATGGCAATTCACAGTAATTTGTGAGGGAAGTTACAATGTCTTTCTTACATATTGTAATTGTAATTTTTAACCAGCTCAATATTAAAAAATAAAATAAAAAAATAATTTCAAAGAAATCATCAAAAAACAAAACAAAAAAAAAACATGTGAAGAAACATTGTAGCAATCAATAATATTTAAAAAAAAATTCAAAACTAAATTCTTAATTAGCCCAATATTAAAAAAATAAAATCAACAAAAATAATTTTAAAAAATAAAAAAATAAAATAGAAAAATCATGTGAAAAAATACCGTAGCAATCCACAGTATTTTAAAAGAAAAAATTACAAAGTTAAATTTTTAACCAAATCAATATTAAAAAAATAAAATCAACAAAGATAATTTTTAAAAAAAAAACTAAACAAAAAAAAGAGGAAAAGTTGCGGAAAAGAAAGAAAAGTAATTTTGAAAAAAAACAAAAAAAAAAGGGGAAAGTTGGAACAAAAGGAAAACATGAACAAAAATAAAAAAGTTAAAAAAACAAAATACACCATAGATTATTATCATAATGCATAATATATTAGATATGAGTAAATAATAAATCATCCATTTCTTTTAACTTATTACTTAATAATTTTTTTAATTTTAAAACTTACTTTCATTGAAATCACTTCTAGCATCACAGTTGAAACTATTTTTTTTTTTATTATTAGTATTTTACATTTGATAATTGATAGTGACTTGTTCTCTCATTTTCTCTAGAAAAAAAATCTTTTTTTATTTCAATTTTAATTCTCTTGTTTATTTTAAACAATAAAATTGATTTTTTTTTATGAATTTAGATTTAAATAAACTATAAAAAAATATTATTCAATTTTGTCACCTTTCACAGATAACACTATAGGTTTTTATGTGGATTTTAACTTTATTTTTTTAATAATATACCTACTATGAAAAAAAACTTATGAATATTTTATTAACATAAAATTTATGTTTTTTAAAATCTTTAATATATTTTTTATTTAATTCTATTACATTTATCAATATTGTTTTTGCAACCATACACAAAATATTAATATTATGACTTAGTTTGAATATTTTATTTTAAATTTTAACTTAAGACCATAATGAATTTTTGTTCAAAAAAAATATTTAAATCTTTGGGTTGATACTTGATTTTTTTAATATATATTTGTTTTTGTATTATTAAATAAAATACAATTTCAAGAAACACAAAATCAAGTTAATTTTTTTATATTTAATCTACAATATCAAAAAATTTAAAATATATATTTTTTTACTTTCAAAATAATTTTGGTCTTATCCGCAACTATTAAGAATACGAGAATCGTTGTTATATAAAATTTATAAATTATTTCTATAATGGATTTAATATTTTTATTAAAAAACAGAGTAAAATTACCTCGTGTTTCACATGCGAATAGTTGAATAATTCCATGATGATTAGATGAAAACAATGAAAAAACACCACGTGTTTTACATTCACTAATTACCATTTCCTCGTCAACGTGGCTCCTTCCTGGAACCCCACCAATCTATATCAAGACACGCGTCAAACACCCAGCAAACCCATTTCACAGACTCTCACTCACTCTCCACTCTACAGTTCACTCTCCTGTCTGCACCCCCCCTCCTCTCTCTTAATCAAGCACAAAAAAGAAATACATAAACAAAAGCAAACCCTAGAGATTAAGAAAAGTTTTGGTTTTTAAGTTTTTTTTAATAGGAGTCTTTCAAACTCCCATCTTGAAATGGCAGAGATACGCCCACCTGAGACCAATCCAAACAACGGTGGCGGCGGCGGTAGCAGCGGAGGTGGAGGAGGGGCACTAACATCATCTGAAACTGTAGGGTCAAAGAGGCAGCGGAGGCCAAGTGTCCGATTAGGCGAGATAGGCGGCGGAGACCAGCTTTATGAATCCCAACACCACCGTAGAACTGCCAGCAACAGAAACA